GCGGGGGGAGAAGGAGAGAGAGAGAGAAAAAAAAATCCATAAAGATTAAAAGCAAAAACAAAAAACAAAACAAAAAAATCCTCTTCCGTTGAAACAGAAAAAGAAAAGTGCCGGAGTCAAATCAGCAGCCCGGAGATAACTACAGAAGATCCACGCATTGTTGCCACAGACACCTCTCCCCTCTCCATGCTCATTTCTGCAACATTGTTACAAAGAGGCAGCGCTGCCTGGAGTTGGGGATCGCCGGCACCCGGCTTCGCAACTCCGCCGGGCTCCTCGACAGGGACCCCTGGGGGCGCGGGTCCTTGCACAGGACGGGGGCTGAGCCCAGGAGCCTCTCAAAAGGCTTTTTTTTTTCCTAGAAACTACCTCCAAATATAGTAACAGGGAAGGGGCATTCCTAGAAATTCAGGAGACGTCAGAAAGGGAAGACTTGTGAAATTCAGCCTCACTTCCTGCAGAGGGCTCCTAGCATAGAAAAAAAAATCAAGTGAGCAATAAAGTGCTTTTCATGCCTCTCTGATCAGATAATAGTTAAAAAAAGAAGAATGGCAAAGCACTTAACTCACATGGCTCAGATAAGATCTAGGAGTGTCATATGGAGGAAAGCTAATCAGTAACCCCCTTTCTTCATTTTCTACTAATGTTTATAGATGTCTGCCTCCTGTGTTTACTTTTTTTCCCTGTCTGTGTCCTCACAGCAGACACATGCACAAAGCAAATACAAGGAATACACAAATTACACACACACACACACACACACACACACACACACACAGGGTGATAATAATGCTTGCTTACATCACAGGGGTATTCTAAGCTTAGCAAATGTTTACGCAATATTTTCTACATGATCTGTGGATGCCATCTTGCAGACTTCAGTTGCATTAATGCATCTTGCAAACTTTAGTCACATTTAAACTGCTGATAAATGTATGCAAAATTGTAACTGTAATTGTTATTGCTCAGGTGAATAGGAATGTGCATGATCAGCCTCTATTTAGGGCCTCAGTCCTGTGAAAGGCTGTCACTGTCACTTGCCAAAGACAGAAGTTGAAGGTGCTTAGCAACTCACAAAATAGGTCATAAATGCCCTATATAAAGCAATTTGAACAACACTCCTGTGACAGTCAATTATTACTGTTTTTTTCTCATAAATCTTTATGTTTACCTTGTATATGCTTTACATCTATCTGATGTGTTCCAACCCAGTCCTTCAGCATTTCTGAACTCATGTGAATAGTCCCAATGAAGCACTAAAAATACTTTATTTAACTCATAGAAATGTAGAAATGTTGCATGACTTAATGTTTGTAAAGGGTTCTAAGATTCCCAGAAGGAACTATAGATGTGAAAGTGCTATTATTTATTGATAGCAATGGATTCCTAATTTAGAAAAACTATCCAGCAAAAGCAATGACTACTGTAGAAACCATCATGAATAGCTTTTGGCAAAAGGGTTTAAACATGTTTAACTTTTGTTGGTTAATTGGATTTTCATAATTAACCCCCTATTGAGTAGGTAAAATTCTTGCTTTTGTTCTTCACATTTTCAATACAATTTTTAAAAACCTTCCTGTCGCCACCTCCCCAGCATCAAGTACAACGAAGATGCTGGTGTTTGGCTCTATGCTCTCTTTGTTTTTAGTAGTTTATAAAATATTGCTATTAATCACTGAAGTATTGAAAGATGCATAGTAGTATGCACAAAGTCTCTCTGAAGTTTCCTTTAAAGTGTCCTCTAACATTTACCTGTTACCTCTTTATTGAAAAAGCAATGGCATAAAAATACAGAGCTAACTGTTGAACATTTATACATTTTCATTAGTAATTATACCTGTTTAGAAGTGGATTAAAAGAACACTTTCTAAATAATCTTTCTGGAATTTAAAACAACGCTTTAGATAATTACAAAAGGTATTTCTGAGCTGGCAGTAATTTTTGCAACATACTTTTGCCACTCAAATTAATACCCTCCATATGAGGATGACAAGCTGAAGTTCAGAATCTTTTGATCATTATAAAATGTATTTGCTGTCCTCTGTTGGTCATATTGGTTGTCACATGTAAAATTAAATTAGCTAGGAAATAAAGCTCAGTCCTATAAACCTATGGTTCTCCACCTTTTTTGTACCAGGACCCATTTGTAAACATCGATGGCCAGTCCCAACAGTGCCCCCCACTCCCAACTCCCCTCCCCCAGGCTCAAGCCCCACAGTGTGTGAGGCAGAGGTGTGGGTGTATGGGACAAGGGGGTGGATGTGTGGGCCATGGGGGGCCCCAAGCAGCCCCTTGCAGGCTGAATTTCTGACAGCCTGCAAGGGAAAAGCTGTGGTTTCACATGTTTTTCTCCTTTAAGAGAAAATCCATTTTTAAAGTTTGTTCGTGACCCTTTCATATATTCTTGAGACCCACGTTTGGGTCATGACCCATGGGTTGAGAAACACAGCTATAAAGGGCTGGAATGAGTTAACGCTCTTTCCTCTTTCACCATTGTGACTAGGCAGTGCATGGAGTTTCAAAGCCTAGTCTAATACTAAAAGATACCATAATGTTAGCTGCAGGATAAGTTAAAACAGGGAGACAGTATTAATGTCATGACTTTCATGTGATTAATTTTGTATATATTACTCCCACTGATGTTACTTCTCCCATTTCTTTATTTCCCCACCCCATTGTTATTAGCTGTGGTGAAAAGTCCAAAAGAAGCCAGGAAGTGCTCCAGGACATTCCTCTGCTGTAAGGGCTCTGATGTAGGTGGAGTCCCTAGCAGGTGCATAGCTGATTTCCCCCACTGGAGCCCTTGGCACAGGAGGTGTCCTCAAAGCACATCGGAGTCAGCAGGGTATATGGCTTGAACATTCCTATGACATTCCAGTTTCCAGCTGCCAGAATAGTATGTAGGGGTCACTGCACCAAAGGCACAATTTAGTATAGAAATAACTGCTGTTTCATTATTAGTTGATTTGTTCTCCAATCTGTATCTCAGAAGTTAAAGTTTACCTGTACAATTCCTAGCATCTTTTCTCTCCCTAATAATAAGAGAGATCCTAAAACCACAAGTGATCTGCGCAACTATAGACCTGATAATCTGACCTCAATAGCATACTAAAGCTTTGACAGGAAGAATAATTAAAGAAATGGAAAATAGAAAAGTGCAACGTTGTTTTACTAAAGGTAGATTGTGCCAGATGATCCCGATGTCTTTGTCTGACAACTAATTATTTTGACAAATGAAATGCAATAAATCTAATCCACTTGAATTTAGGAGAAGCACTGGATACAGTACCACATGGGAAATGATTAATTAAACTAGAGAACATGTGTATTAATACAAGATTTTTAAAGTGGTAAGGAACTGGCTGAAGGGGAGACAACAATGGATTTTGCTGAAAGGGGAATCACTGGGCTAGAGATAAGTTACTTGTGAAGGTCCTCAAAGATTTATATTAGAATTACTCTTATTTAATATTTTAATTAATGTGGTTGATCCAAAAAGTAGAAGTGTACAAATGAAATCTGCGGATGACACAAACTAGGAAGGCATTGTCAATACAAAGGAGACTCAGTATATCACACAGGAAGAACTGGATGACATAGCAGACTTGAATAATAGAAATCAGCAAAAATTAAATAGCACAAAATGGAAGTTGACATGCTTAGAAAGTAATAATAATTTGTACTATACCTTTTGGATTTATTAATTGGAAATTACCAAAAAAAGATATATAGGTATATTAGTCATAGGATGGCTATGAGGAGCCATTGTGATACAGCCACTGAATAGGGCAAAGCAATCCTAGAGCACATCCAGACGAGTGCACATATGTGGTTTGGGGCACCACCAACCTCATGCTACACATGTGCAAACATTCACTGCACCGCTAATTTGCACTGCGGCACCAAAGTTTGATACGGAGAGATTCCAGTACCCAAAAAAGCTGAAGCAAAAAAAAAAAAAAAAAAAGAAAAGCGTCATGGTGCATGCTTCAGAAGTATGCACTGGCAAGCATGGAGGCTGGGTCTCCAGGAAGATGCTTTGGCTGCTGGCCAGAGCATCTCCCCCCCTCTAGTTGTCCCTTAGCTCCTCCAGCATGCCTTAGTAGGGCATTTTGCCCTGTACCAAACCCCATGTGTAGAGGCTTGTGTAGTGGCAACAAGCAGCAGCACCAATTTGTGCTGCTGCTATTTTTACTGTAGCAAACACGCACCCCTGCAAATGTATGCTTGTTTGGGTGTGCCCCTTGGGCAGAGGCGGGCAATTATTTTGGGCGGAGGGCCGCTTACTGAGTTTTGGCAAGCCATTGAGGGCTGCATGACAGGCAGCCAGGGGCAGATAAATATTAATTTTCAAAATTTTTTAGGGGCCCCGCAGGCCGGATAGAATGGCCTGGCGGGCCACATCCGGCCTGCAGGCTGCATTTTGCCCACCCCTGCCCTAGGGTGTATCAGTAGAGGTATGTATAGTCCTCACCATGGACAGCCACCTTGATGGGGTGGAGAGCTTGCTTGTACCAGTGACCCTAAAAGCAACACCGTCAGGAGTCTTGTACTCCTGGTAGGGTCACCCATGGTGGTATGGTCAAAGTTGAGGTATCAGATGAAAAGCAGTCCAGTATGACACAAAAACCTCAATGGTGGAGCAGGGCAGATGCAGAAGGCATACTTCTCGATGGCTGCGAAAGCAGATGAAAGCTGCAGTGGAAGAGTAACCCCTGTTGTCTTGGATCTGCTTGCCACTGGACACAAGTTTCTCCTCTGCCAAGACCTGTGCAGTTGCCAACGTGCAACAGCCTCCTTATGTAAAATGTAAAACTCCTTCATGACCAGATGACTGCCTCTATCCTATGCAGTGGCTCGGCTATGGAACCCTTTGCCATTCAAAATGGCATCAAGCAGGGCTGCATGATTGCACCAATTCTGTTTTCCATCTTTTCTGTGATCATCAAGATGCTTATCCCTGACTGCCACATGGCATCGGCATCAAGTACAGGATAGATGGGAAATTTTTCAGTCTTTCCTGCCTCTGTGCCAAAAGCAAAGTTACATCAGCCTTGATTCTGGAAAGCTCTTCTCTATGGCTGTGAAGCTTGGGTGACCTAAAGACACCACCTGAAAAGCTTGGAAAGCCTTCACCAGCACTACCTCTGGAAGATCCTTGGCATAAAGTGGGAGGATCGTTGCACAAATGCCAGTGTCCACACCAATGCCAAGACCACCAGCATGGAAGCATTGATTATTCAACATCAGCTGTGGTGGACAGGGCATTGTGTGTGCAGGCCTAATGTATATTTACCAAAACAACTGTTATACTCCCAACTCAGCCAAAGACAAAGGACACCGGGGGAGCAGGGGAGAACAGAAAAATGACAGAAATGGAAGGAAAGGAAAGAAGACCGAGAAAGCTGTGTTTTCACCCTATCTTTAACCACCACTTGTGGCATTTGCCAGAGAATCTGTGGCTCTAGGATCGGCCTTCTAAGCCATCAACGGACTCATCTACAACCCTCGACCCATGGGAGTGATCATCTTCAACCGTGAGGGATTGCTGCCGCTGTTGGATTTATAGTAGAGATAAGGAAATAGTCACAAAATTGTACAAGACACTGGTGAGCCCTCTTCTAGAATACTATGTTCAATGTTGGCCATCCATATTTTTAAAAAGGTTAATTCAAAGTGGAAAAGGAAAAGAGCTAAGATGATAATGGGAATAGAGAGCGTGTCTCATGAGAAGATTTTAGCTTTCAGCCTTGTAAAACAAAGATTGAAAAGAAAGTTTCTAACCATCAGAATAATAAACTTCTGGGCCAGTCTTCCAACATGAGTTATAGGTGCTTAAACATAACTACTTTGAGGGTGAAGCTAGAAGCTTATGAACAAGATTACATGATAACATTCGCGACGCATAGCGGGTGCACCCCGAGATTGGTGGTGCACTCCCTGCAAAAAGTGCCACCGATGCTGCCGGCAGTGACTGTGGGCAATCGCCGCTTACAGCACCCCTCACCACTGCCACCGCCAGCAGCGTCTACGGGTGGTCCCTGATCACTGCTGGCTGCCACCGCCACCATTGGTGGTGTCTGGGGGTGGTCGCCGACCACTGGTCAGCGCTTGCCACTCCCCACTGCCAACAGCATTGGCCACCTGCAGGAGCTCACCGCTTGCCGCCCCCATGCCCCCGCTGCCGCCAGCACTGCCACCGCCTGCAGGAGCTCACTGTGCCCCGCCCCCAGCCTCTGGGGGCATGCAGTGTTCATGCATGATATGGTTGCCTGTGAAGACAGGGGAGGGGTTTGTTAACTCAGGATAAGCCTTCTAGTCCTGTGTCTTACCTGTGTATTCAGCTTACTGTAAACTCAACACATCAATGGAGAACAGGGACATTGCTGATGCGCATTTGGGGCTGGGCTGATGCAGCAGAGCTTCACCGCCAGGGTTGTCAGCAGGTATGGAAGAGGGAGGAGGAAGCCACACATGCAGCCCTTCCCCATCCAGCCTCTTTGAACAGGATTTCTGGAATGCAGCATGTGTTGGAGTCCTCGGAGCCAGCAGAGGCACCTGCTTTCAGCGCAGGTCCACCTGCTTTGCTCCTGTCAGGAGCCAGGAGGCTGGTGGCTGCTTCCCCTGTGAATGCGTCACTCCTTTAGGACTAGGTGATATTCTTGCAGCCTAGGCAGTCCCAAAGGAGCGAGGTCCAGGAACAGGACAGGCCGGTGGGGCTGGGATCTGCTCTCTGCACATCCCTGCTTGCAAAACCGTTGCCCATTGCAGGGACATACGGGGAGTTGACCACATCTCTGCCCCAGGCCCTGGCCCTGTGCTGTCACCACCCTGCAATCCCCAGCCCTTGCTCACCTGTCCCTTTCCTGGATGCCCCTCCCCACCCACCGTTGACCACACTATCCACCCAGCCAAGTGTGCTCTGCCCATGGAGGTCCGGGCCAGTCTTCATGGAGACTTCATCTAGTGCCCTCAGCAGTGGATGTGGAGCAGATGGGCTGGGGTGCCAGGGCAGCTGGGCTGAGTCTGGCAGTGACAGTGGCATTGGTACTGCATAGGGAGTGCACGTGGGTGCACCCCCTGAGATTGGCGACAGCATCTGCAGCTGGGTGCAGATCATTGCTGGATGCCGCCAGCGTCTGTACAACTCAGGGGTTAAGAAATGCTGGTTTAGAGATATATCAGATAAGATGAAAACCCACAAAAAATAAAACATGTCTGTAGATTAGTACTTCAGATTTGGTATGGAAATCTTAATGTATGTTAGGAAAAGCCTTAGCCAACCTTACACATGAACATGTGTAGACAGGAAAAAAAGGTAAAAGGTAAAAAAAATAATCAGGGATTATTGTGTGCAGTCTTTAAATTACCCTCTTCCCCTCTGCCTTTCAAAGATCAGCAGAGATACAGAACAGGCAAAGGTGGTTCCAGAAAAAAAAAAGACTTTAAATACCTCCATGACCTCCACCAAGGCCAGTCCATCAGCATGATTTAGGGACATGTAATGCTGCATTGGCTACTGTACCAAATTCATGCTCTCTGGGCATTTTTACATGTGCTCTGGGACGTGGTGCTGAGCGCTTTAATTAGGGAGCCACGCTAATTAAAAGTTCTCACGCATCACGTATATCAGCGTCTCCGCGCTGAAAAAATGGCGGCAGGCCACTGTGAACTAAAGCTCACTGAATGTATTTCGAAGTGCCTCGTCACCATTTTTTCAGCCTGGAGACACTGATACACGTGATGCAGCAGGCTGCCGAGCGCATCTATTTTTGTGCTCCAGCTGAGTCCATTTATCGAGTCTGCTCTGGTGCGCTGGTGTGTCCGGCATGGGCGACTGGTGCCACCTTAGTCCCACAGTGACCAGTCAGTGACTGGGAGGTGGGGCCCGTGGCCAATCTCGCTGACTGGGAAGTGGCCGCAGTGCTACATCCAGCGCTCCCACTCCCTGGCTGGTGCTCGCAGGAGGGCCACCGGTGCTCCCCCCTGCCCCCCTGCCCATCACCTAAGTGGGGAGTGCGGCCAGTCAAGGGGTACACCAGCACTCCCAGGGGGTGCACGTGTACCCCTGTGCACCGCCTACGCAGCGCATTGCATCACATCGCATCCCCACTGGTGTCAGAGCGGGCTCCACATCCCCTGGCAGGAGCCCTTCATGGCTTCCACCCGGCAGAGAAGCCCTGCCCCTGGTATCAACCTGAGATCGTTCCTGAAAAACACACGTTTGGTTGACAGGCCGCCCTCTCCAGAAGAGGCTCAGGGCAGCTTGCACAATACAAACTGGGTAAAAGGCATTAATTTTTTATTTTAATCCTTTATCATTGCAGCGACAGATAACATTATTACACTAAAACAATATGTAATAAAACACGATCCCCCACATCGTAACACTGCCTCCGCCCCCACACACGCGGACGGGGAGCAGCTCCCGGGCTCACCCCGCGGCAGCGACCCTCCCCCGCCAGGGCCCCGGGCCCCTGCGGGCTCAGCCGGGGAAGCCCGCTGTTTTGCTTCGCAAGACCTGGAAGAAATGCGGCCGTTCTGGCTTTGGGGACAGGCCCTCGCGCGCCTCGCTGCGGCCCCCCCATTGTCCCCGGGAGTAGTTTCCCCTCCGCCCCAAGGGCCTAGGAGGCGAAGCAGGAGGGAGCAGCCCAGCTCCTGCCCGCCGTTCGCTCGAAATTCCCCTAAAAATTTTCCAGGCGAAGGTTCCCCCCCCCGCAGGGGCCGAGGCACGGACGGGGTTCGAACCCGTGATCTTCGGTTTACGAGACCGACGCCTTACCACTTGGCCACCGCGCCTGCGTTGCCAGGCCGGCCCCACGCCCCTGTATGCTGGCGCCACTCCCGAACGCCGCCTCG